GGATCTCCTGGAGGGGAATCTCCTGGAAGGGGATGGCAGGGATGTCCTGGAGGAGAATCTCCTGATGGGGGTGGCAAGGATCTCTTGGAAGGGGATGTCCTCGAAGGGATGGCAGGGATCTCCTGGAGGAGAATCTCCTTGAGGGGATGGCAGGGATCTCCTGGAGGAGAATCTCCTTGAGGGGATGGCAGGGATCTCCTGGAGGAGAATCTCCTTGAGGGGATGGCAGGGATCTCCTGGAGGAGAATCTCCTTGAGGGGATGGCAGGGATCTCCTGGAGGAGAATCTCCTTGAGGGGATGGCAGGGATCTCCTGGAGGAGAATCTCCTTGAGGGGATGGCAGGGATCTCCTGGAGGAGAATCTCCTTGAGGGGATGGCAGGGATCTCCTGGAGGAGAATCTCCTTGAGGGGATGGCAGGGATCTCCTGGAGGAGAATCTCCTTGAGGGGATGGCAGGGATCTCCTGGAGGAGAATTTCCCAGAGGGGATGGCAGGGATGTCCTCAAGGGGATGACAGGGATCCCCTGGAGGAGAATCTCCTTGAGGGGATGGCAGGGATCTCCTGGAGGAGAATCTCCTGAAGAGAAGGCAGGAATTTCCCAGAGAGAATGGCAGGGATCTCCTGGAGGAGGATTTCCTGGAGGGGGTGGCAGGGATGTCCTTGAGGGAATGACAAGGATGTCCTTGAGGGAATGACAGGCATCTTCTGGAGGAGAATCTCCTGGTGAGGGTGGCAGGGATCCCCTGGAGGAGAATCTCCTGGTGAGGATGGCAGGGATCTCCTGGAGGAGAATCTCCTGGAGGGGCTGGCAGGGGTGTCCTCGAGGTGGATTCCCAGTGCTGCCAGGATGAGTGGAAGTGGCTGGTCAGGGGCTGGCAGGGATGTCCTCGAGGTGGATTCCCAGTGCTGCCAGGATGAGTGGAAGTGGCTGGTCCTGCTTTCCTTCACCCCTCACCCACCACCTTCTCCTGGATGAGATGAGATGGGATCTGGGCTGGAGGCACATAGAGACATCCTCATCCCTCCAAGGCTGTAGGATGGGAAACTTTGGGTGTCCAGAGGAGCTCACACTACCCTTGTGCCCCTAGTTGTGCTCATTGGCGACTCTGGCGTGGGGAAGAGCAACCTCCTGTCGCGCTTCACCCGCAACGAGTTCAACCTGGAGAGCAAGAGCACCATTGGGGTGGAGTTTGCCACCAGGAGCATCCAGGTGGACAACAAGACAGTGAAGGCTCAGATCTGGGACACAGCAGGGCAGGAGAGATACCGAGCCATCACCTCGGCGTGAGTTGATGTTCTCAAGCATGACCCCTCTCTGTGGCCCTGACCCCTCTCTGTGACCCTGACCCCTCTCTGTGGCCCTGACCCCTCTCTGGGACCTTCTCCCCTGGCTGTGACCATGTCCCCTTGGTGTCCCCTTCCTTGGTGTCCCCCAGGTACTACCGGGGGGCGGTGGGAGCTCTGCTGGTGTACGACATCGCCAAGTACCTGACGTACGAGAACGCCGAGCGCTGGCTCAAGGAGCTGCAGGACCATGCTGATGCCAACATTGTCATCATGCTGGTGGGCAACAAGAGTGACCTGAGGCACCTGAGGGCTGTGCCCATGGATGAGGCCAGGAGTTTTGCAGGTAGGTGTTCGGCACCTCCTTCCATCTCCATCCCATCTCTTCGTCCCATCTCTTCATCCCATCC